CCAATTACAAGGTTGCAGCACAGAGATGCTGGCAGGCTGCGCTGCGAGGGATTCTGGCCGTCTAGGTCGTGCTGGCAAGCACTGATGCATCCACGCCTCCCAGCCGTGCTACCTGCCATCCAGCCTCACATCCCGTTCTGCTGTTTGCTTCCTTCCTAGTGTTTTTACTACTAGTAAAATAAAGACTACTAGTATCAGCCTTTTTCTGTAGGGAACACTGATGCATCAGACTATTTTTTAAAGTAACACTGAACTTTCAGGCTTTTTTTTTAGGCGACCCTGACGATCAGGGTCTAGGGGCAGAGGGACCCTGATACCCTTACGTGCCTAAAAGTGAATCTGAGGGCCTGCCCCCTACCCCGTAACCCGGGCTTCCCGATTGCCAACTGTCGAAACTGTAAATTCTTATTTTGTGCTCTGTTAATGACAATAATGTTCGAGAACATTGTACACTGATGCCTCAGGGTTGAATATTCAAACTAAGCAGAAACCCTGATGAATCAGTTTTCCCACAAGGGGTCACACTGATAATCAGGGTTTTGAACATGTGCAACACTGATCGTAAGGGTTGGCAAAAACAAAAAAAATTAGCCCTGACGTGCACTGATCCAAAACGGGTTGTTTTGGTGTTATTATCAATGGCAGGAATCAAATACCTACTCCAGGAATCCTATAAAACAAATTGTGAAAAATGCACATTCGTATAAGCTGGATGGTTCTGCCCATTCTCTGTACACTGGATAATGGTGCCTGCCTGCTAATCACATAAGGGATTACTCAAATAGAATTAGCATACCAAATCAACGTGACCCTAAATGACAAACATGGATAACGTGGTACCTACCAACACACGGCTCATATTTGTGTTCGACGGCAAATTCATTCGGAGAAAGGCAGTAATGGCAATTGCGTCTTTGATGAGTTCAGCTGAACCGACTCAGGAATGGTTCCCTCCCTCACAGCAGTTTCCTCCATCCCGGCATCTCGCAGCCTCATCCCATCCCATCATCTCTGCTCCTCATCCCATCCCACCATCCCTATCCCTCATCCCATCCCACCATATCTGCTCCTCATCCCATCCCACCATCGCTGCTCCTCATCCCATCCCACAGTCTCCTTTCATCAACCCATCCCACCGTCTCTGCTGTTCATCCCATCATATCTGCTCATCATCCCATCCCACCCAACTCTGCTCCTCATCCCATCCCACCATCTCTGTTATCATCCCATCCCATGCCGTGTGACTGCTTCAGCCTGCAAAAGGTTAGCAAAAGGACATGCTTCCAGCAGCAGTTGGCATTGAAGCGATGCAAGAATACTGATAGACCTTGACACAGACCCAACTACTGATCTGAATGCTGACCTGAACAGCTCCCAACCTGCTTTGCGGAAACTGGTTCGGCGAGGTACAATACAAACCAGGCGTGGGGAATCACGAGTGGTAACAAGAATCAGAGCAAGCTCAAACGTACCCACCGTGTCCCGCTGATCCAAGTGTCAAACTCCCATCAGCAGTGACGGTATGGCCAGCTGATTACAAGATGACTTGTGACCTGAGTCGAGTTAGAGGCCACCAACGCTCACCTGCTTGCGCTCCAACATTCAATATGATCAGGATAGCTGAAAGTGCCAGCAGCAGTCAGAGAGCTCAATATGAGTGGCATTGCAACGAAAAGCTGACCTCATACACTCCTCCCTGGCTTGCCTCACTGACTCACCGCCTTCCACCGCCTTCTGATGCGGAAGGGGGAGTGGGATAGAGAGGGTGAGGGAAAGCAAGGGGCAGGCAGAGGTTGGGAGGGGAAGGGGAGGCGGATGAGGAGGGGGAAGGGGCAGGCAGAGGTTGGGTGGTGAAATAAAGGAAATGAAGCGTGGAGTGATGGTTGTTTTACATGATGTCGCGTGTTTTGAAGCAACGAGCTGCGATTGCGGCTACAGTGCTTACTGGTAATGCTTGATGGAAGCGACATGTGCAAAGACACACGAGTGATCGAGCATACAGGCTGACATGCATGTTTCCGCAAGGAGGAGGGGGAGGGGCAGGTGGAGGGTGAGTGGCGAGGGAATGGAAATGGAGCAGAATGTGATGTGATGGGTCTTCCATGATTCCAAGCCCTGACCTGCAATACGGCTACAGTGCTTACTGGTGATGCTCGGAAGCGCTCGGACTCACATGAGGTCGCGCATGCAGAGAGAGGTGACATGCATGCCTCCGCAATGTGGCGTGGCACATCCTCTTTGCAGGAGATACGGAATAAGTTGTGTGAATGCAAACAGAGTGAAGGGGGGATGCATACATACCAAGCAGCACATGGTTAGTTCATTTCTTGATGGCTCTTCTTTTGAGGGCATGGATCTGACTAGGCATGGCACGGATCTGAGTTGGCATGGCACGGATCTGACTTGGCATGGAGGGGTTGGTTGCGTGGGCATGTCAGTGACACAAATCGCAACTTCAAAATATTCTCACCCCAACAAAACCCAATTCTGACACTGAAATTGGGATTAACAGAAACGGAAGATGCAACAAAAAAAAAGGGGGGGAGTAAGTTGGGAGCCAATTTTGTTTTTGGAAGAACAACATGGTGCTGCACTTAGAGAAAAATCATCGCAGTTGTAAAATGCAAGTTGTAGTCAGTGACACTCCCCCTTCCCACTTCCTCCCCCACTGCTGCGTTACTGCTTGATTGGAAGCAGTTTGTCAGTCAAGCCCCCAGCTCCCAGTGCATTGCATCCACTCTGGATACTGTTTCCTCTCAGCCTCTCGAAGATTTGTATCTGAATACTGACTGCATACCTGAATTCTGAACTCATACCTGAAAACTCACCGAACATCTCATTACTGACCTGATACCTGAATGCCACGGTTGACAACATTGCGGCTCGTTCATCTACATTCACGGAGTTTCTGGGCAGCAGGCTCAACTGTAGCTGCCCAGAAATATACGGAACGATTTATCCGTTACGCTCGCCCGCTGCCCGTGGTCTAGGAAGGGGTTCGTCTACAACAAAGAGGGTTCTGCTGGTGTTTGACTGGATGACCGGTGAAAATGGAGGGAGTTGCTGCCGTGAGATGAGCTCGAGGCTGCTGGAGAATGTCTCCGTTCAGTTCCGTCGCCGCTTCACAGCGGCGGGTGAACGCGAGTGCGACAGCCCCTGCTGCGTCCTAGACGGAAACTAATGCCGCTGCCGCCAGCAAATCAGTCCCGCAACAATCCATTTCTTGGGAACTACGCTCTTAGGGTTTCGTCATTCGATTATGGTTCCGTTCCGACATTTTCGCCTGGTCGGATCAATGTCCAGCCCAAACAGGTCCAGTGCCATAACCGAATCCGAACCGAACCGAACCCGGTTCAGTTTTCCTCGAACCAGTTCCCCCCCTGTCTAGCAAATTTTCTCGACTCTTTCCCTCCACGCTTCGTCGTCAATCTCAATCTCTCTGCGCATTTCCCGCTTCGTTCGCAACGATGTCTACTCAAGATTCAAGAAACCCAAGCAGAATCAACGATTGCGATTGATTCGGTTCGGCCCAGACTAATCGACCGGCCTTTTTTGGGTGTCATCCAGATGGGTCGAGTTGGGCCGTGTTGGATCGCCTAGATCCATGAAAGGCCGTCTTGGAAATGAGAGATTGCGGCCTTGGATAGAGGCAATCCAACCGAGCTGCACCACGTGGTTACATTCGCAACATACGGCCTAGAAGTTGAAAGTGAGACTGAAGCAGCAGGCAGAACAGCTAGGTGCAAGGATTTTCGCAACACTGTTAGCGCGAACAACAGCTGAGGTTTGGGAAATAGAAGGCGTCAGCGTAGGTTCGGCAATCATAGTAGTCACCTTCTAGTCGCGCAACTTTCTCGCCTTTCAAGTTCCCGTTTCCTGGTGGCAGGACAATGGTCCAGCGGCGGGGAGGCGGCGGAAAGGATGGGGCAGCGGGAATGGCAGAGGAGGCGCACGTGCCGCTGCAAGCCATCCTATTGGCTGACAGCTTCGCGCAGACATTCCGACCAATCACGCTGCGCAAACCCAAGGTGGGCGCGCACGGCTACTTAGATGTCTGTTAAACCCTTGCCACGCACGCTTCCATTGCTAAGCACTGTGCGCTGTATTAAAGTATCTTATAACGCGTCTGATCGATCTGGCGCGTCTTCTCGAGCACGCCGTTACAAGAAGTAGCGGATCGTCCTCGCTCCCTCGAGAGTGTTCTGTGCCACTCACGTCTGTCCTTCTCTCGCCTGCCATCGCCTCCCATCGCCTCCCGCTCCCCTTACGGCCGGATGCGCTGTGAATTCAATGATCCCCACTTGTCTCGCGTAGTGCCGCCCCGCCGCTCCCCTCTCTCCTCCGGGTGCGCGGCTGGTGCTGCTGCTGCTGCCGGTGGCGGGCGTGGCGATACACGCTCAATTCAAACGGTCCCCTCGTGACCGGCAGCAGCACACGCCGCTCGATACACGCTCGTGACAATGGCACACGCCGCTCCTCCCTTCCCCCGCGTGCGCGCCAGGCGACGCTGCGGCTGGCGCGCGGGGCAATGGTGGACTACATACCGCTCGGCTCAAACAGCCAATCGCCCGTTGCAATGCCGCACAACGCCGCTCCCTCTCCACCCCACACCCTCACACCTCACTTCCTGCTGCACGCAGGTGCTGCTACCCGTGTCTGGCGCGCTCATGGTGGTCTATGCACTCCACTCGCGCACTCACCTCGATCGGCACAATGGCACACGCACAAAACGCCGCTCCTCCCCCCCCTCCTCCCCATCCCCCCTCTCCCCCTCTCTACTGCCGCGCGCAGGTGCTGCTGCCGGTAGCGGGCGCAGCAATGGTGGACTACACGCTCGGCTCGAACAGTCCCATCTCCCCCCTCCACAACCTCCCCTTCTCCCCTACTGCCGCGCGCAGGTGCTGCTGCCAGTGGCAGGAGCGGCAATGGTGGACTACACGCTCGAGCCAAATAGTTCCCTCTCCCCCTTCCAACTCCCCCTCCATCCGTGCCGCGCGCAGGTGCTGCTACCAGTGGCGGGCGCGGCCATGGTGGACTACACGCTCGAGTGGCTCGCCATGGCGGGTGTCGAAGAGACCTTCGTCTTCTGCTGCGCGCACTCCCAACAGGTGCGCCACTCCCCCCAGGTGCGCCACTCCCCCCAGGTGCGCCACTCCCCCCAGGTGCGCCACTCCCCCCAGGTGCGCCACTCCCCCCAGGTGCGCCACTCCCCCCAGGTGCGCCTCTTCCCCCAGGTGACCTGCATTGACCTGCATTGACCTGCATGCATTGACCTGCATTGAGCTGCGTTGACCTGCATTGACCTGTATTGACCTGCGTTGACCTGCGTTGACCTGCTTTGACCTGCATTGACCTGCGTTGACCTGCGTTCACCTGCGTCCACCCCATCAGATCCGAGCGCACCTGGAGGATGCCGGCTGGATGCGCCCCTCCTCCTCCTCGCACCATCAGGGGGGCGGCGGGCAGCGGCACGGCATGCGGGTGTCAACGGTGGTGGCGCATGACTGTGTGAGCGTGGGGGACGCACTCCGACACATGGATCACAAGGGCGTGGTGAGATGAGACACATGGACCACAAGGGCGTGGTGAGATGAGACACATGGACCACAAGGGCGTGGTGAGATGAGACACATGGACCACAAGGGCGTGGTGAGATGAGACACATGGACCACAAGGGCATGGTGAGATGAGACACATGGACCACAAGGGCGTGGTGAGATGAGACACATGGACCACAAGGGCGTGGTGAGATGAGACACATGGACCACAAGGGCGTGGTGAGATGAGACACATGGACCACAAGGGCGTGGTGAGATGAGTCACATGGACCACAAGGGCGTGGTGAGATGAGACACATGGACCACAAGGGCGTGGTGAGATGAGACACATGGACCACAAGGGCGTGGTGAGATGAGACACATGGACCACAAGGGCGTGGTGAGATGAGACACATGGACCACAAGGGCGTGGTGAGGTGAGATGAGACACATGGACCACAAGGGCGTGGTGAGATGAGACACATGGACCACAAGGGCGTGGTGAGATGAGACACATGGACCACAAGGGCGTGGTGAGGTGAGATGAGACACATGGACCTCAAGGGCGTGGTGAGATGAGACACATGGACCACAAGGGCGTGGTGAGATGAGACACATGGACCACAAGGGCGTGGTGAGATGAGACACATGGACCACAAGGGCGTGGTGAGATGAGACACATGGACCACAAGGGCGTGGTGAGATGAGACACATGGACCACAAGGGCGTGGTGAGGTGAGATGAGACACATGGACCACAAGGGCGTGGTGAGATGAGACACATGGACCACAAGGGCATGGTGAGATGAGACACATGGACCACAAGGGCGTGGTGAGGTGAGATGAGACACATGGACCACAAGGGCGTGGTGAGATGAGACACATGGACCACAAGGGCGTGGTGAGATGAGACACATGGACCACAAGGGCGTGGTGAGATGAGACACATGGACCACAAGGGCGTGGTGAGATGAGACACATGGACCACAAGGGCGTGGTGAGATGAGACACATGGACCACAAGGGCGTGGTGAGTGGTGGCATGCTGCTGGTCTATATGATCTCCATCTTATCAGCTCAGCATCGTGCATTCTCCCACGCACTACTCCATTCGCCAGCTGGCTCGCATCAAGCGGGTAGTCTGTGTTGCTGCTCACTGGTCACTCCAACCAAGCTGCGCCCCTCCCTCCCATCTCATCACTCCGCCCGTTCCCCGTTGTGCCCCTCTATTTGCATGTTTCCCCGTCAAACATCATCCATCCAGATACTCATCTTCACCTCATGTTGCAATGCCTTCCCTGCCCTGCCGTGTCCCCCTGCCGTGTTCCCCCCCTAACTTCTGCGTGCTGTGGTAACCCTATTGTGTGGCTGGGAATCAGATCCGCGGGGATTTTATTCTGGTGAGCGGGGACGTGATCGCCAACGTCTCGCTCACCCACGCGCTGCACGCCCACAGGTGAGAAAGTCACGCCTCTGCTGACGTCAGCAATTCCACGGGCAATAGTATAGAGCTCTGCTGGCGTCAACGACTCGCTCAGGTGTTTCCGACCTCAGTGTGGTGTGACTCTTGAGTCAGCTCACAAGTCAGCTCACAAGTCAGCTCACAAATCAGCCTCAATTCCTTCTCCCTCAGTCTCACAATCTGACTCACATGCCCCACGACTGGAGGGTCCGGTGGCTCTTGCTCCCGCCTTTCCCTCGTGCTCATGGTATCAACTCTTGTGGTGACGTCATGAGCTGTGCCCACACCGAATGGGGCTGTTGCAGCGGTTCTGTAGGCGTGGTGTGGGCCTTGGGGGTATTGGGGTCGGCGCCCGCAGTGGTGGTCCCCACCCCAGGCCGAGCTCAATTCATTGGCAGCCTGCATGGACTAGTGATCACACTACAGTCCATGCGCACATGGCTGCCCATACCACTCTCCCGCCCACACTGCCGCCAATCGGCCCCCCACCTGACCTAATCCCATCGTGCCTGCCCACCCAGCCGTTGTTGCTTGTTCCTCTGCATTTACGTGCTGCCTGAGCGTGGAGCGGCCCGACCTTGCCTGTATGGCTCCCACCCACCCGCTGTCCTTTCACCTCCTCGCATGTGTGTGTGTGTCCACTGTGCATGCTTGCTGTGTGTATGAGTGTTCACGAGTGGTATGTGCACATGTGTGTGCGGGTGTGTGTTTGTGCGGGTGTGTGTGTGCATGTGTGTGTGTGTGTGTGTTTGTGCGTGTGTGTGTGTGTGTATGCATGTGTGTGTGTGTGTATGTGTGTGTGTGTGTGTGTATGTGTGTGTGTGTGTGTGTGCGTGTGTGTGAATGAGTGTGAGTGCATGTGGGTGCATGTGGGTGCATGTGGGTGCATGTGGGTGCATGTGGGTGCATGTGGGTGCATGTGGGTGCATGTGGGTGGATGCGTGGTGGGTGGGCACAGGGAGAGGAGGCGCAAGGACAAGCAGGCAGTGATGACCATGCTGCTCACGCACTGCCCCTCCAACCCCCTCACCCACCTCGTACGCCCCTCACCCACCCACCCACCTCGTACGAGTTCTTTCCACCCTTCATTTCGCAGCAGTTTAGTCCCTGCTCTTGTTGCTGCTCTTGCTGTTGTTATGTTGTTTTTGCTGCTGCTGCTCACATCGCTCTCACTGCTGTGCTTTCACGATTATTGTTCCTGTCGAGGTTACTGTTACTGCTGCGTTTCTCACTGGTTTCGCCGCATCAGCTGTTGTCAACCCCCGCACTCCCCTTCGGACATACCCTCTCCTCCTTTCCACCTCCTCCCCCCTCTCACCCCAACCTTTTTTTTTTGTTTCCATTCTGTGTCCAGACGCGCACGGGCAGCGAGTCACAAGTGTTTGGCATCTGCCCGGACTCCAACCAGCTGCTCTTCTACGAGCCGCCGCCCGACCCCCTCTCCTCCACGGGCACGGGCAAGCTCGCAGCTTTAGCAGGTGGACGGCGTAGCTTGGCAGTATCTGTGGATCGGGCAGTGTGGCAGGGGCACAGACGGCTGGCACTGCGCACGGACCTGGAGGTGATGCTCGCTCTCGTAATCCACACACCAACCCCTTGCCACCCACACGAGTCAACCCCTTGCCACCCACACGAGTCAACCCCTTGCCACCCACACGAGTCAACCCCTTGCCACCCACACGAGTCAAACCCTTGCCACCCACACGAGTCAACCCCTTGCCACCCACACGAGTCAACCCCTTGCCACCCACACGAGTCAACCCCTTGCCACCCACACGAGTCAACCCCTTGCCACCCACACGAGTCAACCCCTTGCCACCCACACGAGTCAACCCCTTGCCACCCACACGAGTCAACCCCTTGCCACCCACACGAGTCAACCCCTTGCCACCCACACGAGTCAACCCCTTGCCACCCACACGAGTCAACCCCTTGCCACCCACACGAGTCAACCCCTTGCCACCCACACGAGTCAACCCCTTGCCACCCACAAGAGTCAACCCCTTGCCACCCACACGAGTCAACCCCTTGCCGCCCACACGAGTCAACCCCTTGCCGCCCACACGAGTCAACCCCTTGCCGCCCACACGAGTCAACCCCTTGCCGCCCACACGAGTCAACCCCTTGCCACCCACACGAGTCAACCCCTTGCCACCCACACGAGTCAACCCCTTGCCACCCACACGAGTCAACCCCTTGCCACCCACACGAGTCAACCCCTTGCCACACCACCCACACGAGTCAACCCCTTGCCACCCACACGAGTCAACCCCTTGCCACCCACACGAGTCAACCCCTTGCCACCCACACGAGTCAACCCCTTGCCACCCACACGAGTCAACCCCTTGCCACCCACACGAGTCAACCCCTTGCCACCCACACGAGTCAACCCCTTGCCACCCACACGAGTCAACCCCTTGCCACCCACACGAGTCAACCCCTTGCCACCCACACGAGTCAACCCCTTGCCACCCACACGAGTCAATCCCTTGCCACCCACACGAGTCAACCCCTTGCCACCCACACGAGTCAATCCCTTGCCGCCCACACGAGTCAACCCCTTGCCGCCCACACGAGTCAACCCCTTGCCGCCCACACGAGTCAATCCCTTGCCACCCACACGAGTCAACCCCTTGCCACCCACACGAGTCAACCCCTTGCCACCCACACAAGTCAGCCCCTTGCCACCCACACGAGTCAACCCCTTGCCACCCACATGAGTCAACCCCTTGCCACCCACACGAGTCAACCCCTTGCCACCCACACGAGTCAACCCCTTGCCACCCACACGAGTCAACCCCTTGCCACTCACACGAGTCAACCCCTTGCCACCCACGCGAGCCAACCCCCTGCCACCCACACGAGTCAACCCCTTGCCACCCACACGAGCCAACCCCTTGCCACCCACACGAGTCAACCCCTTGCCGCCCACACGAGTCAACCCCTTGCCGCCCACACGAGTCAATCCCTTGCCGTCCACACGAGTCAATCCCTTGCCACCCACACGAGTCAACCCCTTGCCACCCACACGAGTCAACCCCTTGCCACCCACACGAGTCAACCCCTTGCCACCCACACGAGTCAACCCCTTGCCACCCACACGAGTCAACCCCTTGCCACCCACACGAGTCAACCCCTTGCCACCCACGCGAGCCAACCCCTTGCCACCCACACGAGTCAACCCCTTGCCACCCACACGAGCCAACCCTTTGCCGCTCTTTTGCTGCCCCATTGAAACCGCTTGAGTCGTCACACAGCATCCTTGGCAGAGGCAGCTCTCTTGTCGCGTTTGCAGCAGTGTTGGTGCACATGTGGCGGATGGTGCACCTACATGTGCTTCTCTGCTGTGCTTTGTGGCTGGAATACATGTCGATAGTGAGTCTGGTTCGATCCGTGCACTGTGCGCCTGCATCATCTTGACCTGACCCCCCCCAGTCACCGTCACATTGCACACCACACCACACCACCACACAGCCTTACTCTCCACCTTTTACTCTCCCCTCCCTCGCCTCGCCCTCATAACCGTAACTCCCATCACTCCACTCTGCATGTGCGCCTGCCGTAATGCAGGACAGTGGCATCGACATCTGTGCGCCGGAGGTGCTGTACCTGTACACGGACAACTTTGACTACCAGCACCCCCGGCGAGACTTCCTGCGCGGCATCCTCAATGATGACGTGAGCATTCTCAATGATGACGTGAGCATTCTCAATGATGACGTGAGCTTTTTTTAAATTGTCTGTTCCATTCCCGTCCTCCCTCCCTCCCTCGATCACCTCATGCATTGCACTTCCTCGCACCTCTTCTCTCATAGCCCCACACGCACATGAGCAGCGGGACAGCAGCAAAGGAATTGGGAGCCTATTTTCTCCCTCTTCCTTACATGCCATCACATGTGATGACGCCATGAGCTGTGCCCACACCAGTGGGGCCCTCACGGGTCCCCACCCCAGGGCGGGCTGAATTCATTGGCAGCCGCGTTGAACCTCCAGTCAATGCGCCCATGGCTGCCCATGCCAGACTCCCGCCCACACCACACTGCCCCTGCTCGCATCTTCGTCTCATGCTAATTCTAATGCTATGCTGTCACCACAGGGTGGTGTTCCCGTGCCATGCGATTGTAGCACGCTGCCGTGCGAGCTTGTGTCACTATGCCTCTGTGTCATGCGTGCCACAGAGGCATGCTTGTTTCCCTGCGATGCTCTGTCATCCCTCCATGCACTACCCGCTTCTCCCACACAATGTCATCCGCATACCATCTTGCACTCCCCCACTTCAGAGCTCGCACCAATCCATTTCCTCTTGCCCCCCTACCCCCTGCCCCGTTTCCCCATTGCGTTATCCCTTCTCTCCCTTGTCCCGTCGCCCCTTCCCGCTTCGTTCCCCCCCCCCACTGTGTTGATCAGATCATGGGAAACAAGATCTTCACGCACGAGATCAAATCGCAGTATGCCGCCCGCATAGACACGCTGCGGGCGTACGCGGCGGTGTCAAGGGACGTGCTGCGGCGCTGGGCCTTCCCCCTCGCACCCGACTGCGCCTTCGGGGCCCACAGCGGCCGCACCGCTGTCACCCGAGGCAACCGGTACCGCGAGGAAGGTATGAGGAAGGTTAGAGAAAGGTGAGAGGAAGGTGAGAGGAAGGTGAGAGGAAGGTGTGAAGAAAGTCCGAGAAAGTTGAGAGGAAGGTATGGGTAAGGTGGAAGGAAATTGATTGAGAGGAAGGTGAGAGGACGGCAGGTGGGGCATGAATAAATGTGCAGATGAAAGCTCTCCGTGTGAGCAGGAGCCATGCACGTGCATGTGACATGTATGTGAGCAGCAGTGGAGGGCGTGTGAGCAGTGCATGTGCAAGCGAGCCTCACTCATAGAGTACGGTGTGTGCACTCAGCTCAGTTGGCATGCGAGGCTGCTGCTGTCCCCCCCCTCGCCTTCTACTCCACCTTCTCTCACATCACCGGTTCTCTCCCTGCCTCCGCCTGTTCACTTGAGCGCTCTGTGCCGGGGTCGCACTGTTTGACACCCGTTTCTCTCTCGCTCTCTCTTTCCTGCACTGCCCGCACCCTCTCCTCCCCTCCACGCCCCCTTGTCCCCCCTCTTCCCCCATGCCCCCCTGTCCGTCTGCAGCGGTGTCAGTGGCGCGGTCAGCAGTGATAGGGCCGGACACGCTGCTGGGGGAGGGAACAGTGGTGGCGGAGAGGGCGGTGGTGCGCGGGTCAGTGCTGGGCGCGCACTGCCTGGTGGGCGAGGGGGCCGTGGTGGACGGCAGCTTCCTGTGGGGCGGCGTCACGGTGGGCGCGGGCGCCGTGGTGCGGCATGCAGTGCTGTGTGACGGCGTGCAGGTCATGGCGGGGGGGACTGTGCACCCCGGCTGCGTGCTCTCTTTCGATGTGAGCGTGCTGCTGCTGGGATGGCAAATAGGCCAGGGGGAAGGGGGTGGGCATGTGGGCATGTGGGGATTGGGGGATGTGTGGCTATGGGTGTGGGCATGTGTGAATGTGGGGATGTGGGGATGTGGTGGTGCGGCATGCGGTGCTGTGCGATGGCGTGCAGGTCATGGCGGGTGGAACGCTCAACCCCGGTTGCTTGCTCTCCTTTGATGTGCGTGGCTCGTGCTGTGGGCATGTGGGGATGTGGGGATGTGGCGATGTGGGGATGTGGGCATGTGGGCATGTGGGGATGTGGCGATGTGGCGATGTGGCGATGTTGGGATGTGGGGATGGGGGTATGGATGTGGGGATGGGGGGATGGATGTGGGGATGCGGGGATGCGGGGATGTTGGGATGCGTGATGTGTGCGTGCACACAGACATGCGATTCTCTCTCACCCGCTTGACCCCTCTGTCCTTCCCTTCTCCCATAGTAGGTGGTGGTGGCAGCCAATCACGTGGTGCCAGCTGGCACGCGCATAGCGAGGGAGCAGCAGCCGGAGGAGGAGGGCAGCGATGATGAGAACACAGAGGGGCATGGCATGGGTGAGAACACAGAAGGGCATGGCATGGGTGAGTGAGTTGATTGGGCGGGTATAGGGCATGTGTGAGAGCAGGAATGTAGGGAGATTGGTGGGATGGGATGGGTGTGGGTGGCAATGGCATGTCAGGGTGTGATGATGATGATGATGAGAACAAGGAGCAGCAAAGATGAGGCCACCATTCAACTGGATGTACATGTGTTTTTGTTATGCTATGACCCTCACTTGTGGCTTTGAATTTGTCGACAACATAATATGTTGGCAAATACGATATCTACTGTTGTCTCAACCCATCTATTACCTTGTTCCTCCGTTTTCTGTTGCCGTTTTTGTGTGCTGCGTGTGTCATGGACCCTTGTGTTCTCTCGCCCTCGCCTCTCCTCCACGCGGCATCAGCCCCGCCTGCAGTGCGAAGGAAGCAGGGCAAGCGAGGTGACGAGGAGGATGAGGATGATGAGGAGGAAGAGGATGAGGAAGAGGAAGATGAGGAGGAGGGAGAGGAGGAGAAGCAGGAGCTATCAGATGAAGACGAGGGGCCATGTGATGTGCAAGCTGTGAGTGCCATGTGATGTGCAAGCTGTGAGTGCCATGTGATGTGCAAGCTGTGAGTGCCATGTGATGTGCAAGCGGTGAGTGCCATGTGATGTGCAAGCTGTGAGTGCCATGTGATGTGCAAGCTGTGAGTGCCATGTGATGTGCAAGCTGTGAGTGCCATGTGATGTGCAAGCTGTGAGTGCCATGTGATGTGCAAGCTGTGAGTGCCATGTGATGTGCAAGCTGTGAGTGCCATGTGATGTGCAAGCTGTGAGTGCCATGTGATGTGCAAGCTGTGAGTGCCATGTGATGTGCAAGCTGTGAGTGCCATGTGATGTGCAAGCTGTGAGTGCCATGTGATGTGCAAGCTGTGAGTGCCATGTGATGTGCAAGCGGTGAGTGCCATGTGATGTGCAGCTGTGAGTGCCATGTGATGTGCAAGCTGTGAGTGCCATGTGATGTGCAAGCTGTGAGTGCCATGTGATGTGCAAGCTATGAGTGCCATGTGATGTGCAAGCTGTGAGTGCCATGTGATGTGCAAGCTGTGAGTGCCATGTGATGTACAAACTGTGAGTGCCATGTGATGTGCTGACATTGGTCATGTTGTGGCATGTGCATGTTTTTCAATGTCCATGTGTCTGTACATCCATGTGTCCATCTGCTGTATTCCTGCATGCATGGCCAGACGGGATGTGATAGCATGCCATGGCTTGGCACAGCATGGCATGGTGGTCTCGGTTTGCCCTTTTCCACATTTCTCCTTCTCACCCCCATCACAGCACCTTCCTGCTTCCCTCTCCGCACCCCATCAGTTGAGCTGAGGAAACAAGCTTCGCTTTTTCCCCAAACCCTCCACCCCTCCCGCCATTTCTCCATCCCCTCTCCCTCCCCTCCACCCCCCGCACCCCTCCCAACTTCCCCCTCCGCCCGTCCCCCCCACAGGTGGGCGAGGGCGGGAGGGGCTTCGCCTGGCCGCCCAGAACCCCCGCTGCAGCAGCCGTGGTGCGGCGGCAGTCGCTCGCACCAATCACAGCGCTCGAACTTGCTGAGCTGGCAAGACTGGCGATTGGACGGGAGGAGGGCGAGGGGGAGGAGGGGGAGGAGGAATCAGGAAGGGAAGGAGGGGCGGCCTTGGTGGGAGGGGAGGAGGAGGAAGAGGAAGACGAGGAGGAGGAGGATGGGGAGGACGAGTTTAGCAAAGAGGTGAGCTGTGTGGGATGGAGGGGTGGAGGGAAGGGTGGAGGAGGGGATGTAGGGGAGAGAAGATGGGGTGAGGGCCGGGAGGGATGGGACACGAGGGTGGCAGGGCGATGGAGAGGGGAGAAGGGAGGAAAATGCAATGAGGGAGGGAAGCGCGAGAGAGGGTGCAAGGCACGTGCAATGCATGCGCACTGGGGGTTGGTGGATGCTTGTAGGATGGATGATGACAGCATGTGGTGTCATGGGCATGTGGTGCCATGGGCATGTGGTGCCATGGTCATGTGATGCCATGGGCATGTGGTGCCATGGGCATGTGGTGCCATGGGCATGTGGTGTCATGGACATGACGCTTAGCCTGTGGCATGTTTGCCTTTTTTTAAATATATATCCATGAGTGTCTTTATGGTGCATGGATGCATTGCATCGCATGGCATGGCATGGCATGGCATGGCACGGCACTGCATGTCACCTCATGGCATGGCATGGCATGGCATGGCATGGCATGGCATGGCACTGCATGTCACCTCATGGCATGGCATGGCATGGCATGGCATGGCATGGCAGGTGGAGGAGATGTTCAAGCGGGCCGTGGCGGAGGGGGTGGCGCAAGACAACGTGGTGCTGGAAGTCAACGCGCTCAAGTGAGTGGTCAACGCGCTCAAGTGAGTGGTCAACGCGCTCAAGTGAGTGGTCAACGCGCTCAAGTGAGTGGTCAACGCGCTCAAGTGAGTGGTCAACGCGCTCAAGTGAGTGGTCAACGCGCTCAAGTGAGTCAACGCGCTCAAGTGAGTCAACGCGCTCAAGTGAGTCAACGCGCTCAAGTGAGTCAGTGTGGTCAACCTGAGTCAACGTGGTCAAAGTGGGTCATTGCGGTCAACTCAAGTCAACGCCCTCAAGTGAGTCAATGCTACGTCCGTCTCAGCTTCCTTATCCCTGCCCACGCAGAGCGCAGCTTCCACGCTCCGCTCCACGCGCATCCCTTTCCACACACCCTCTTATCATATCCTTCCCTCCTTCCCTTTCCCCCACCCTCCCTCCCACTCGCCTCCATCTCGCCTGTCGCCAACGCATGCCAGGCTGGCATACAACCGGTCCTTTGCGGACTGTGCGGGGGCCATGTTCCGAGGCATGCTCAACCTCGCCGCCTCACAAGCCGCCCCCGGGGCACCCACCAGTGAGTGCACGCACCTCGGCTGACCAGCGCCATCTGTTATTCCACCCATCCACACCCATCTGCCTCGCACACCACCCTATGCCACCCACCTGCGAGCTCAGCTGCCTGACTGGTCACCCGTTGGCTGCCACGACTTTACAGAGTACCACCCTCAACTCAACTCTGGGGCTCTTTACCAAATTTCCCTATCTGCCCATCCCGCCCAGGGGCGCCCACCTCTCAGCCCCAACTGCTGGATTTTGTTTAGAATACTCTAAAGAACCCTGCAAATCCTTGGTTCCCACCCCGGCCCTGCTCTATCACTCCTTGTCTGCTCACCCTGTTCCCCCACCCTGCCCCCCTCTCTGCCCGCCCGCCATCCCTCCCCCCCCGGCCCCCGCCCTGCCCTCATCCGCCCTGCCCCCGCCGTGCCCTCATCCGCCCTGCCCTCATCCGCCCTGCCCCCGTCCGCCCCGCTCAGAGGAGTTGCTGGCGTCCACACGTGCCGTGGTGACTCGGTGGACGTCGCTTCTGAGAAGGTTCCTCAAGGGCACGGACGACGAGGTGCGTGGCAGAAGGGGGATGGGGACGAGTTCAGGGAAGAGGGAGAGGAGAGGGGGTGAGAAATCTGGTGGGGGAGGGGATGACGGAGGGCATGGGGGTGGGGGAGCTTGAGGGGGCGGGGGGTCGTTGGCGGCTAGGGGGTAGGTGGAAGGTGGGCAGGGAAAAGAGGGAGAAGCACCGCCATTCCAAAAAGGTTTTCAATGCCACTTCCTGTACCCATTTCTTGCCCATCCTCTCTACCCTTCCCTGCCCCTTCCCATCTCTGCCATTCCCCACTTCTTGCTCTCACCGCCAACCCTTGTTGGGATTAGGCTGCACTTTGTGTGTTAGCCTTGAAAGTTGTAGGGTTTACAAATTTTAGTAAGTTTAGTTTTGGTTGGGTTGGGTGTAGACTTTTTCATCCCCAACCTATCCAACCCTATCCAAACCAAACCATTCAAATTCTCCTGGGATTCCTTTCTGATTGCATCTTATCCACCCAACCCCTCCTAGTTTCTGGTACTTAAGGTCATGTATGAGACTCTCCAATCAATCGAACCAACCCTTTCCTGACACCCCTCACGTCTTCCCCCTCTCACCCAAATTTTTCTCCCTCTCGCTGTCACCACTCCACCTTCCCCCCTTTCGCGCCCTTCCTTTCATCCCCCTTTCACCATCTCCCCCCCTCTTCCTCCCCGCTCCTCCTCGGGCAGGTGGAGGTGCTGCTGACATTCGAGGAGGTGTGCAACGAGTCCCGCCCCGAGTTCGCGCCCATATTTGTCAATGTGAGTGCTGCCAAAAAGTGCTGCCAACAAGTGCCATTCAGAAGTATCTTTTGCGGTGGCCTGTGTGAGAATCCTGGCAGCCACTGGGTTTTCCATCCGCCTCTTGCTTCTGTGCCTTCCTGCTGGCACCTCCACCGTCCTCTCGCTCATTCATCATCCCTCGGTCCGCTCTCCCATGTATGGCCCGCCTCTTCCCACGTATGCTCCACCCGCCTCTCCTTTCACTGTGTTTCGCTAAACCCTCGTTCCGCTCTCTCCCCAGGTCCTCGAAACGCTGTACGACAGGGACATGGCGAGCGAGGAGGCCGCCATGCCACAACACCCTCTCCTCAATTTTCTCCGCCCCCTTCCCTCTCCTCCTCACTCCCACCCCCAGGTAGAGGCGCTGTATGACAGGGACATATCATGCGAGGAGGCGGTCATGGGTCATGGGTCATGGCCGTTCCTCCCATTCCCCCCATCTCTCTCCCGCTCCTTGGCTCTATTCCCTCCCCCTCAGGTGCTCGAAGCCCTGTACGACCGGGACATAGGGAGTGCGGAGGCCGTCATGGCGGCACACTCACCCCAATTCTCCCCCCTCCACTTTTGCTGCTTCCCCCGCTGCTCACTCCCTCGCAGGTGCTAGAGGCGCTGTACGACAGGGACATAGTGAGCGAGGAGGCCGTCATGGCGTGGGCCGATGAGAAGCAGTTCGCCGACGCCGCTGACAAGGTGTTTGTCGAGCGATCCGCCGCGTTCATCAAGGTGAGATGAACGGTGCAAATCGAATCCTGCTGTGGTGTGGGCGAAACCCTCCCCCGTTTGTGGCACTGCTGCATGTGGGACTGGGGCAGTTGAGTGTGTGTGTGGGACTGGGGCAGTGTGAATGTGTGTGTGGGACTGGGGCAGTGTGAGTGTGTGTGTGGGACTGGGGCAGTGTGAGAGTGTGTGTGGGACTGGGGCAGTGTGAGTGTGTGTGGGACTGGGGCAGTGTGAGTGTGTGTGTGGGACTGGGGCAGTGTGAGTGTGTGTGGGGGACTGGGGCTGTGTGAGTGTGTGTGGGGGACTGGGGCAGTGTGAGTGTGTGTGGGACTGGGGCAGTGTGAGTGTGTGTGTGGGACTGGAGCAGTGTGAGTGTGTGTGGGACTGGGGCAGTGTGAGTGTGTGTGTGGGACTGGGGCAGTGTGAGTGTGTGTGGGACTGGGGCAGTGTGAGTGTGTGTGGGACTGGGGCAGTGTGAGTGTGTGTGTGGGACTGGGGCAGTGTGAGTGTGTGTGTGGGACTCAAGCAGTGTGAGTGTGGGTGGGACTGGGGCAGTGTGAGTGTGTGTGTGGGACTGGGGCAGTGTGAGTGTGTGTGGGACTTGGGCAGTGTGAGTGTGTGTGGGACTGGGGCAGTGTGAGTGTGTGTGTGGGACTGGGGCAGTGTGAGTGTGTGTGTGGGACTCGGGCAGTGTGAGTGTGGGTGGGACTGGGGCAGTGTGAGTGTGTGTGTGGGACTGGGGCAGTGTGAGTGTGTGTGTGGGACTGGTGCAGTGTGAGTGTGTGTGTGGGACTGGGGCAGTGTGAGTGTGTGTGTGGGACTGGGGCAGTGTGAGTGTGGGTGGGACTGGGGCAGTGTGAGTGTGTGTGTGGGACTGGGGCAGTGTGAGTGTGTGTGGGACTGGGGCAGTGTGAGTGTGTGTGGGACTGGGGCAGTGTGAGTGTGTGTGTGGGACTGGGGCAGTGTGAGTGTGTGTGTGGGACTCGGGCAGTGTGAGTGTGGGTGGGACTGGGGCAGTGTGAGTGTGTGTGTGGGACTGGGGCAGTGTGAGTGTGTGTGTGGGACTGGGGCAGTGTGAGTGTGTGTGTGGGACTCGGGCAGTGTGAGTGTGGGTGGGACTGGGGCAGTGTGAGTGTGTGTGTGGGACTGGGGCAGTGTGAGTGTGTGTGTGGGACTGGTGCAGTGTGAGTGTGTGTGTGGGACTGGGGCAGTGTGAGTGTGTGTGGGGGACTGGGGCTGTGTGAGTGTGTGTGGGGGACTGGGGCAGTGTGAGTGTGTGTGGGACTGGGGCAGTGTGAGTGTGTGTGTGGGACTGGAGCAGTGTGAGTGTGTGTGGGACTGGGGCAGTGTGAGTGTGTGTGTGGGACTGGGGCAGTGTGAGTGTGTGTGGGACTGGGGCAGTGTGAGTGTGTGTGGGACTGGGGCAGTGTGAGTGTGTGTGTGGGACTGGGGCAGTGTGAGTGTGTGTGTGGGACTCAAGCAGTGTGAGTGTGGGTGGGACTGGGGCAGTGTGAGTGTGTGTGTGGGACTGGGGCAGTGTGAGTGTGTGTGGGACTTGGGCAGTGTGAGTGTGTGTGGGACTGGGGCAGTGTGAGTGTGTGTGTGGGACTGGGGCAGTGTGAGTGTGTGTGTGGGACTCGGGCAGTGTGAGTGTGGGTGGGACTGGGGCAGTGTGAGTGTGTGTGTGGGACTGGGGCAGTGTGAGTGTGTGTGTGGGACTGGTGCAGTGTGAGTGTGTGTGTGGGACTGGGGCAGTGTGAGTGTGTGTGTGGGACTGGGGCAGTGTGAGTGTGGGTGGGACTGGGGCAGTGTGAGTGTGTGTGTGGGACTGGGGCAGTGTGAGTGTGTGTGGGACTGGGGCAGTGTGAGTGTGTGTGGGACTGGGGCAGTGTGAGTGTGTGTGTGGGACTGGGGCAGTGTGAGTGTGTGTGTGGGACTCGGGCAGTGTGAGTGTGGGTGGGACTGGGGCAGTGTGAGTGTGTGTGTGGGACTGGGGCAGTGTGAGTGTGTGTGTGGGACTGGGGCAGTGTGAGTGTGTGTGTGGGACTCGGGCAGTGTGAGTGTGGGTGGGACTGGGGTAGTGTGAGTGTGTGTGTGGGACTGGGGCAGTGTGAGTGTGTGTGTGGGACTGGTGCAGTGTGAGTGTGTGTGTGGGACTGGGGCAGTGTGAGTGTGTGTGTGGGACTCGGGCAGGGTGAGTGTGGGTGGGACTGGGGCAGTTTGAGTGAGTGAGTGTGTGTGGTGCTGGCAGCACGGGTACCATGAAGCGTTGAAGATTCCATGCTTCACAGGAAGGGCGATGGTTCTCGTTAATCTTGCCAGCCCCCCTCTTGTGCTGCCCATACTCTGCCCTGTTGTGCTGCCCCTACTCTGCCCTGTTGTGCTGCCCCTACTATGCCCTGTTGTGCTGCCCCTACTCTGCCCTGTTGTGCTGCCCATACTCTGCCCTGTTGTGCTGCCCCTACTCTGCCCTGTTGTGCTGCCCCTACTCTGCCCTGTTGTGCTGCCCCTACTCTGCCCTGTTGTGCTGCCCCTACTCTGCCCTGTTGTGCTGCCCCTACTCTGCCCTGTTGTGCTGCCCCTACTCTGCCCTGTTGTGCTGCCCCTACTATGCCCTGTTGTGCTGCCCCTACTCTGCCCTGTTGTGCTGCCCCTACTCTGCCCTGTTGTGCTGCCCCTACTCTGCCCTGTTGTGCTGCCCCTACTCTGAACTGTTGTGCTGCCCCTACTCTGCCCTGTTGTGCTGCCCCTACTCTGCCCTGTTGTGCTGCCCCTACTCTGCCCTGTTGTGCTGCCCCTACTCTGCCCTGTTGTGCTGCCCCTACTCTGCCCTTCGCCTGCCCTCCCCCCCCCCTTTCACTGCACTCTTCCACTCCATCTCTCCCTGGCCCCATGTCCCGTGTTCTTCATCCCTATCTCACTCTTGGCTCATTCGCCCTTGCCGCTAGCCGTCCTCGTGCCACCACTCCAGTTCACCCCGACCCCCACTGTGCTTGTCCTAACTTCCTTGCTCCCCTCTGCTGCTCTTCACCCGCTGCTGCTTTTCACCCGCTGCTGCTCTTCACCCGCTGCTGCTCCTCCCTCTGCTCTCTGCTCTGCCCTCTCTGCTGCTCTGCCTTCTAATGCTGCACCGTCCCTTCTGCTGCCTGTCTGGCCTCCACAGTGGCTGAAGGAAGCCGAGGAGGAGGAGAGTGATGATGAGTGAATGTCCGCCTTCACAAGCAGCGCAGTCACACAACCATCAGGGAACATAGGATAGGAGGGAGCACAGTGGCTCGCACGACAGTTGAGGTTAAGTGATCCAAGGCACAATACATGCACAATATATTGAGCATGGATTGATGTGCAAGGGTGTCACATCATGTGATGATGTGACCATATTGTCAATGTGAAAGCGACTTGAGATGAAGTGGATATGGTGGTGTGTCTCCATGTTCAGACGTCACCTCACCTGGATTCAAACTGTGTTCCCCCAAAAAACGTTCTGATACAGTAAAACTTGCCAGAGTATGTTACGGGTAGTTTCTCAAACTGATATGGTACCTGTACCGTATATTTAAACCAGAAAATGAGAGCTCGGTCGGAAGTTACCGTCATATACTTGCCAAGTGCAACAAGAACTCACATAGCCAAGGAGTTTTGAGGGCTATTGCATGGGACAGGGTTCATCAAGCCGGTCTGGCGTAACTACCAGCCTATGGCAGAGAAAAAGGGAGGAAGATGAGTGTGTTTCGCAGATGCGCCTTACTTGAATCACTTCATTCAATTGAACTACGGTAGTTACTGGTATAGCTACTGGTAGTGTTACCATAGCGGCTGCCATCATCCTAGGCATACAGAGAGACAACAACAAGACCCAACCTCCACATCTCATACCTACACTAAGTCAATGCTGCTACCTCAACTACGGTGCTAGTTAGTACGACTCTACACCTGTGCTGCAGAATGAAGGAACAATACTTGGGGATGCAGGCCAGGCCGCATTTCTCCTGTTCCTCCAGCTGCTGCACTCATCCACCAATTCACAGGATTTGGCATATGATGTGCTGTGCTCCTTCAGCATGGGCGGCCCGTGTCTCTTCAGCTGCATGGAAACCCGCTCGCCAAGCAGAAACATGCCTGAGCGTGAGAGCACCGACAAGGGCCCATTATTCCTATGGTCTGGACAGCGCCTTTGTCCTTTACAATCCCTGCAGGGATGTAACGCTTCTCCTACAGTGAAGCATGGCCTGTCTTTCCTTGAGCGGCTTCATGTTCGTATCTGGTAAATACAGCTCCATGGGTGTGTGTCTGCTACGCTGATTCCACTGCCGTGTCACCCATGACCCCTATGACCCCTAAGGAGATACAGGTGTGGGCGTTAAGAAGATTCCACGGGGGTGTCGCGGGGCAGCGTGTTCCAGTTCGTTGAGCAGTTCCGCCCCTTCCACTCAAAACCCCGCTCCTCCAACCCCTCCCGGGCAGCCACGGGCAGCGCCGAAAAGAAGTCCCAGTCAGCCGCGAGCTGCTTGAGCACGGGCAGCTTGTTCCCGAGCCCCGGGCAGCAGTTGGCGTGCACGGTGAGCAGCGAGGAGAGCGAGTGGCCCATCTCACAGAAGCCCCCGAACTGGTTGGTGTGCAGGTAGCGCAACAGCAGCGGCGAGGCCACGCGCGTGAAGGGGTTGGCCTCGGGGCGGATCCAGTTGAACACCTGCTGTATGCGGAACTGCGGGCACCTGGGGGGTGGAAGGAGAGTGGGGGGGGGGGGGGGTGGGGGGGTAGGCAAACGAAGAATGATGCAACATCACATTGATAATCACGCACAGGGTGGGTCCAGTTGAACACCTGCTGTATGTGGAACTGCGGGCACCTGGGGGGTGGAAGGAGAGTGAGAGGGGGGGGGGGGGGGGTAGGCACACGAAGAATGATGCAACATCACATTGATAATCACGCACAGGGTGGGTCCAGTTGAACACCTGCTGTATGCGGAACTGCGGGCACCTGGAGGGGGACAGGGGCGGGTGAGGGTGTCGCGCCAAGATAAGGTGGGATTGTGTACAAAAGCACTTGCAAGCAGATCAATGCACCTGCGGCACCCATACCAGCGCCCCTGCACACAGCCACTCCGCCAGCCAGTCCTGGAAGAACCACAGCATACGGCTGTTAACCCGGGCGGCACACAATTCCCCATTACCCACGACAGACTCAAGCCATTCCAACACCTACCTTTCCCTTCCTCTGCTCACCTCCTGTGCCATGCGAGCCAGTCTTGAAAGAAGCGCAGAGTGCGCGTGTTGGCCCGGGCGGCATAGAACCCGCCGTTGGCCACCACGGAGCGCGGGTTGGGCGACCACCAGTCAGCCGACATCTGCAGGTCGTGTGGGCGGCGCCAGAGCAGCGGCAGAGGGTTGCGCAGCCAGAGGATGTCGGAGTCCGTGAAGAGCACGTCGTAGCCCAGCGCCAGCATGCTTGTCACCACCGCCACCTTGCGCCACACCTGTTGGTTAGGGCAGCAGGAGAGGAATAAGGTTTGTCAGAGGGATGTGAAGCATGGTTAAAGGGCAGGCAAAGCCGGGGGAGTGGGCTGCGCAGGCAGAGGATGTCGGAGAAGGTGAAAGGCACGTGGTAGCCCAGCGACAGCATGCTCGCCACCACCGCCACCTTGCACCACACCTTTACGGCAGTGGCAATGGCGAATCCGAGATGCAACAGCACAAGGGAAGGACGGTGTGTGTGAGAGATTCGAGGCATGGGTGATGGGGACGGGCAGAGGATGTGGGAGTTGGTGAAGAGCGCGTGGTAGCCCAGCCCAGCATGCTCGCCTCCACTGCCACCTTGCTTGCACCACACCTGCCGGATAAGGCAGCAGGAGAGAAATAAGGGGTGTGAGAGGGATGTGAAGCATGGGTAAAGGGTAGGCACAGCAGGGGGAGTGGGTTGCGCAGGCAGAGGAAGGTGAAGAGCACGTGGTAGCCCAGCATGCTCGCCACCACCGCCACCTCGCTTGCGCCACACGTGTTGGGTGGGACAGCAGAAGGCGACGTGTGTGCGAGTGAGAGGGAGATCAAGAGTGTCATTCGCGAGCTACCATGCTTGCTACCACCTGCCGCTTGCGCCATTCCTGTGAGTGGGAATGGCACGGCCGGATGGCAACGTACAGGAGGAGCCAGCCAGCGCGCTGGTATGAGGAATCTGACGTGTGACAGACGAGCAGGAAAGGGTGAGTTTGGCCCGAGGAGCCCACAGCGTGACAGGGAAGGGGTTGATAAGCCTGCTGCTAAGATAAGCCCTTCACAACTCCCCAGCCCTCCGCCCTCCGTCACCAACGCTGGTGCAGCTGGAAAGTGTGAGTGGGTAGTGCAAGGGTGCGGAGTGTCATGTGTGAGAGCCGTCCCGTTCAGGAGCATTCCACGCCACTCTGCCACATGCACGCCTGCCACTGTTCCAACTCAAATATTCATACGCACCACGAAATTGAGATCCCACGCACCAGGTGTATATAAGCGCGCGTCATGAAGTGTTTCTGTCCGCCGCCCAGGTCCTCTCTGTGAGGAGCGTCCTCCTGCCAGTCCATGTAGCAGTTGAGCCCCATCGCGCAGCACGCCTCGAAGCTCGCGTCGTCGTACGCCACCACCACCAGCCGCGCCACCAGCTCACCCAGCGCAGAGCTATACGCGCCCTCTTCCGCCCCCGCCTCCCCCTCCCCGTCTCCATCTCCCGCGGTCTGATACCTCTCCGCTGTCCTCCGCTCGCTTTCCCTCTCCATCCCTTCAACCCCTGCGCGCGTCCGGATATTAACTCCGCCCCTCCCCTCCTCTCCTCCCCTTCGCTCCCCCTCCGCCTTCCTCTGCTCGCGCGCGCTCCGCTCCGCGCGCTCGACGGCGCGCAGGCGCGCGAGGAAGAAGCGCATCATGGGCGCCCACGCCTCGTTGAACGACACCACGATCACGGACCGTCGCGCGGCGCGCGCCAGCAGCTGCGCGGGCGACGCCGACTCCGCGTCCTCCGCGAACTCCTCGCCCGCCGCCGCCATGTCGTCGGCGATGGTCATGCCGCCCCCGCCGCCTGCAGAAGCGCCGTTGGTGGCGGCAGCAGCGCTAATAGCGGACTGCACGGCCGCCTCGAGGACGGACTGGAGCGTTCTGATGTGCCCGTGCGGTCGAGCGGATGAAAGAATGTGAGGATGGGGGCGTGCGGGGATGCGGGGATGCGGGGAGGCGGGGATGTGAGATTGCGGGGATGTGGAGATGATGGGATGTACGCGACCGAAGGCGGTGAAGAAGGGGCAACAGACAAAAGATTTCAACCATGACTAAAATGTGTGGCAAGCGAAAAAAGGTGTCACATCCCTGCGAATCCGGAAAGCGTGTCTTTGTTCTATATGATGTGCGTGTGTCGCATGCGCACGTGCGTCCGTACCCGTGTGACTCACCTGCACTTTGAGCAGATCGGGGCCTTCCCTTGTTGCCGTTCTCCCATCCCCCCAACGGCGTCCATCGCTCTGCTCGATGGCGCACCCCTCGGGGAGTTTCCCCGGAGCCGCGCAGGCCCGTCGGCGCTGCTCCCCTCCGACCACCCACGAAGCACCGACTCCGGAGCTTCTCCGCGCGAGGCGCTCCGCGCAGCGGGCGGGGACGCGCAATACTCCTCGCGGGTGAGCGGAGGCAGCGGCGCGGGGGTGGCGCGGGAGGAGGCGGCGGAGGTGGCGGAGCGGACGCGCAGGTGGAGGCGATTAAAGCCGGAGAAGAAAAAGAGGCACGTGAGAGACGACGCGATCAGCAGCCATGCGAATAGCGACTGGCGGCCCTTTAGCGACGCGATTGGGAAGAGCGAAACAGTGCAGAGGACGAAGGCTAGCGGGGGATTCGCCGAGGCCGAGGGTGACAGTAGCGGGTGTTCTATTCTGTGCAGGAGATGCATATGCGGGTTCGCCGCGCCTGTGAAGGAGTGCGATCGGTGCATTCGCGATCGCGAAACGGCGCTGTTTCCGCCGTACGGCGTGCCACTGCTGCCGTGATCGGGATGCACTGCGTGGCTGGGAGTGGAGCACTCCATCGCGAGGACGATGCGGGTTTTAAAGTATTGCCAGTATTAACCAAAACTATAGCACCTCATTCGCTGGAACGACTGGACTGGTCACTGAGATCTTAACCTAATTTTACCTCAAAGTCCTTCAGCGAAAATGCGTCGGAAGCAGAAGCAGAAAAAACAAATCAACACAAGCTGGAATCGTGAGCCAAAAGCTTGGATTTGGGGGTTCACTTCAGTATATTGGATTCAGCTGACTGCCTGCTGCAGTTGCAAGTCCCCAAACAGATGTTCGGGACCTGCCATGCCACCCAGTCCGAGTCGCAGTCGCTTTCCCATTAGAAATGCGATTTGGCTAAAAAATTCATGGTCAGATATGTCAGGCGCGCTCTGGGAAATAGAGTAACAGTTGTGCAACAATCTGGTTCCTACAGTTTGAATGTGTTATTCTTGCTTTGTGCCATTCCTCTTACCTCATATGATAGTAGTTCATCCAATCCAACCTAGCGACTATTCAACCCGTTACCACCCTTGATTATTTTCCCTTCCACTGATACTGGACGGACTATTCCACACGCCACGTTGGGTAAACCACGGCCCAACTATACGCCTCGACTTTCTGGAAAAATCTTTATACAGATTAGAACTACAACAAACACTACAACAAACACTACAACATAACACAACCAGCACAGCAGTACTCATGCAAGTTACGTTCCTACCTCGTGCCAACCACCGCACACAGGCCTTGATGCGGCCAATGACACGTGTTGACTTGGTACGGGGTAGGAACGCACCCTCAAGCACGACAATGTGCTACCCTAACCTGCCCAACATCTGGAAGACATGCAGTGCCATCCACGAGTCTACGGCAACAGCTGGCATGCAGTGGTGAGCGCCCCAAGGAGCGCAAAGCAGGCAGCCCCAGTGGCAAGCGACGGTGGTTGGTGGTCATGCGGGTGGGTGACACGATACAAGTGGGGTCATACTGCCTGCACTGCTGCCAGGGATGAGTAGTCGTATTGCTCTGGCATGGGGAGATGGGGTGGGGAGGTTTGGGGAGGAGAAGGATCGAAGATGATACGATTCCAAGTAAGAGGAGGAGAGGAGAGGAAAGGAGAGAAGAGGAGGGGAGAGGAGAAGATAACGAAGAAAGAGTGGAGCACCAGAGAAGATAGGGGATAAGGAGCGGGGCAAATTAGGTAGCAGGTGGGTGAAGGCACCATCTGCATATGCCCCACTGCCTACTCGCTGCCACTTGCTGCAGTGCCACTGACACGCCCACTGCCATGCCCGCTGCCATGCCGACTCACTGCCTGCTTGCTTTACTACATCCGACAGGCTCCAGACTGCCTAACAGGCACTCACTGGAGGCCTTGGTGCAGGAGGCAGAGGCGAGGGTGCCCCAGTCAGAGGAGGAGACGCAGCCCCTGAAGCAGGCGACGGTGTAGGGCGCGGTGGTGCTGGCGTGGTAATGGTAGAACACAGGCTCGCCACTGCTGCCGTCGCCCACGTGCCCCCCACACTCGTCCACCCCTGCCGGCAGCGCTCCCCCCGCTCCCCGCGGGCCGAACAGCGGAATGCCGTCCGCCAGGAATCCCAGCAAGGGGGAGTGCTGGGTGGGGGCGTCCTGCCAGAAGGACGCGCTGCCAGGGGGGAGGGGGAAGGGGAGGGTGGGAGGCAGGGCGGAGAGAAGGGGCGGATGGACGGGTTGGGATGCGAGGCATGCTACAAGGTAGGTAAATGGCATGAGGCAGCACATGGTACCTGGCAGCACATGGTACCTGGCATGGCAGCACATGGTACCTGGCAGCATGGTACCTGGCAGCACATGGTACCTGGCAGCACATGGTACCTGGCAGCACATGGTACTCGCACTTGCAGCATGGTTGGCTTCGAAAGGAGCTCAGGTTGCAAGGAATTAAGGGGAAGAAGGGAACGCACTTGCAGAGGTTGAAGGCGGTGGAGCGAGAGGAGGAGATGGCAGAGGGGTTGGCGACGCCGGGAGCGACGTGGTAGTGGTACTGGCCCGAGGGCGTGGGGTGCCCCCCACACGCATCAAACGTGGCGCCCTCGTACTGCAAGGCGTCCCGACCCAGGGCGTCACACGCACTGCCAGGGGGAGAGGGAGAGGGAGAGACGGGTATGGGACATGAGGGCGTGAGGTGTGCAGGGAGAGTGAGGGCAGCGGCGAGGAGGACGAGAGGTGGAAGGTGCAGCCGCAAGGGCAGGAGCAGGCAAGCAGCAGAGCAGAATGGGGGTGGCACAGTGGGAAACGAGATGCTGTAGGGAATCATATTCGGACAGGCCAAACCCCAAGTCCTTGTCACGCCGGTTCCCCCCTCCTGCCCCTAACCTCTCCCCCCACCATACCGTGACCCCGCTGATCCATCTTCCATGCTGCCCCCACAGCATTCCAACCCCCCTACTGCCCCGTCCCCCTCGTCACCTGTAGAAGGGCATGCCATTGAGGGCAAAGCCGATGGGGCCCATCATGCAGACACCGTTGAGGGCGACGGGGATGGCGGAGGAGGCGAGCGTGGGGGCGAGCGGCACGGCGAAAGACAGCGCCTGCTGCTCTGGCGAGTACAGCGTGGCCTGCACCCACCATGCGTACCCCGGACACCCGTTGCTCGCCATCACCCTGCCATCATACGGCAGGGGGAACAGAGCAAGGGGATACAGGGCAGGGGGGGCAGCGCAGGGGGGACAGGGCAGGGCGAACAAGGCAGGAGAGCTAGGGTGAGGGAAAGGAGGAAGGGGAGGGCAGAAGAACAGACATGAGCGGACGAAATGGCTTGAGCGGGCGTGCAGAGTGGCAGAGAAGAGGGGCGCACCTCTTGCCATTGCTGCTCGTGAGCTTGGCGCTCCTGCTGCTGCTGCTGTTGCCACACGCACTCCCACCTGATGACCCACTGCCACCCCCCATGCCTCCTCCGCTGCCCATGCCTCCGCTGCCCGTGCCTCCGCCGCCCATGCCTCCGCCGCCCATGCCTCCGCCACCCATGCCTCCTCCGCCGCCCATTCCCCCTCCGCCCATGCTACCTCCGCCTATGCCTCCCGCGCCCATGCCTCCCCCGCCCATATTTCCTCCGCCCATGCCTCCTCCGCCCATGCTTCCGCCGCCCATGCCTCCCCCGCCCATGTATCCTCCGCCCATGCTTCCTCTGCCCATGCCTCCTCCGCCCATGCCTCCTCCGCCCATGTATCCTCCGCCCATGTTTCCTCCGCCCATGCCTCCTCCCCCGCCCATCCCCCCTCCGCCCATGCTTCCTCCGCCTATGCCTCCCCCGCCCATATTTCCTCCGCCCATGCCTCCTCCGCCCATGCTTCCGCCGCCCATGCCTCCTCCGCCCATGCTTCCTCCGCCCATGCCTCCTCCGCCTATGCCTCCCCCGCCCATGTTTCCTCCGCCCATGCTTCCTCCGCCCATGCCTCCTCCGCCCATTCTTCCTCCGCCCATGCCTCCTCCGACGCCCATGTTTCCTCCGCCCATGCTCCCCCCGCCCATGCCGCCTCCACCCATACCTCCCCCACCCATCCCCCCTCCGCCCGCATTACCTGGTTGCCCGCTCATCCCGCCACCTCCTTGCGAGCCAAACCCGCCCTGCCCGCCGCTTGACGCGCCACTTCCGCCTCCGCCGCTGGTCTGGGGGGGGCGGAAGAAGGACCAGCTACCGCCTGTTCCCGATTCCCCCACCAAGCCGCCAAACCTTCCCGCGAAACGCGGAAGGCCGAGCGAGCGCGCGCTGCACGCGGCGTGATGGACACCCGCGAAGCAAAGGAGCGCGACGAGCGCGAGGGCGGGGACGACGCGGGACGACGCGAGGCGAGGCGACATCATGGCAGGCGGCGCGGAACGCTAAGAATCGCGCGTATCTAGAAAAAAAATCTGTGGAGTGTAGATCGAACCTCGTTTCAACGTCAAGTTGAATGCACGGCGAATGCAAAGGAGGGAGGCGAATGCAAGAAGGCTGAGAGGCAGCGCTGAGGAATGCTCCCAGCGAGGTGGCTATTTGTACTTCCCCTGCCATCGCCGCCGCTGCCATGAGCCCAAGGCACTCGACTCGGCCTGCGCGCATTACGTAAACTGATGTGCTGGTTGACTGGGGCAACGAGCAGGAGGATCTGGGAGTCAACGCGAACCCAGTCAACGTTGAAAGGATGGGGAGCTGAACTGTTGACTGACGCTTGGGCGAAAGTCGGCGAGAGGGTGAGTGTTACGAAGGAGAGTGTGCAGAATGCAATAAAGAGGAAGTGATTACAACTAGTGAGTGACTAATGAAGCCTAGCTCACATATAGCGAAGGCTAGCTAGGCCGAAGTCGCGGGATCCTGGATGGTTGGGTGTAGGTTCAGGGTTTGGGAGACCCGAAGGCGACGCGAGGGACGTTCGGAGGGCGAGGTCATCGTACCAAGCCTGGAGCTCCGAAAGTTGGAATTGTACATGCATCAAGTGCCTCAGTTTCCCCGGAATTAGGGGAATTTAGGGTAAGAAATTAGGGGAGAATCCTTACACTATCCCCCCCCCCTCCCTTCCTTTTAAGAAAGGTGGTCAACACCAGGCACGCGACGGCGGGAAAGGTAGTCCCGTAAAACCGAGTGGCCGTGTAGTGAGTCGGTCATGACCCACGTATCATCTTCACTCGTGCGATCAACCCATCACAGCAGTAAATCAATGTGGTGTCTTATCGGTGTCACACGCACGCGATGATTCGAAATCTTCTAGGGCTGAAGTGTCGAGTCTGCCATAGGCCGAACATTTGGCGCGATGCTAGAGCGGGAGACGTTGGATGATTGTGGTGTGGCGTAATATCGGAGCAAGCTGACGTGGAATGTGTTGTGAAATTTCCAGTTGTCGGTAGCAGAAGCCTCACTGTGAGAGGTATTAACATCCTCACGTCGCGGAAGGGTCTTACGTGGCGGGGGCGAAGTTTCACCCTGAAAATCCACATGCAATCGACTATGCTCGCCCCAGGAGGGGGAACTGCGTCGACGTAGGTGCCTGTGGACTTCCGGGAAGCCATCTCTGCGTCCATGGCTGCCTGCCACTGAGAGGAGTACTGACCCGTAATCGTCTCTACGCAAGAGCGCGGGGTCGGGAAGTCTAGTGCATTCGGGTCTTCCTCAGGGGCAAGCAGCATGGCAGCGCAACGAGGTATAGCAGCCGCGAGGCACTCCTGCTCAGACTGCCTATTCGCAAGGCGGAAGGCAGCAGCAAAGTCAACGAGCTCAGTGCCTAAGGCAGACGCAGCAGCAGACTCAAACGTAGGGTCAGTCAAAAGTTTGGCCAGACAACGAGTGACTGTAGGACTAGCAGCATGGGCAAGGTCCGACGCAGGACAGGACGCTGAGCAACAGAGGAAGGACGAAGTGCCATAGTGTGACTGCCAGGGACAGATGGAGGACGAACACGGGGGGCACGACGAGTACGAGCAACAGGCGAGGCAGAACGAGACGGAGGCTCTCAACGCTCAGTCAAGGAGTCTGTCAACTTAGTGTGAAGAGAAGGATCAGGTAGTGGGGAGTCAGACAGTGGGGATTCAGGCAGAACCTGTGTTTGAGACGGGGCAGTAGGCGGGACCAGGAGTGGAGGAGTGGGACCAGCAGTAGACGGGTCTACAGAGTCAGATGGAGAACGACGAACCTAGTGAAGTGCCGAACCAGGTGGTGGCAGCGGCGACTGCTGCTGGTCCCAGAAGAACGGGCACCGTGGTCGCGGCTGCGCAACACCTCTAGAACCTCTTGCTTTAGTACCTCAAGTACCAGAACCACCAGCACCTCCAGCTCCAGCACCTCTAGTACCAGAACCTCCAGTACCTCCAGCTCTAGTACCTCCAGCACCAGAAGCACCAGCTCCAACGCCTCAAGTACCTCCAACTCCAGTACCTCCTGGACCAGCACCCCAAGAACCACCAGCAACAGGCTCTGGAAGTGGCAGCGATGACTGCTGCTGCTACCAGAAGAAGGGGGGCCGTGGCTGAGGCTGCAACGCACCCGCAGAATCTCCAGTATTAGCACCCTTGGCTCCACCACCACTAGGACGCTCAGCACCCCGAGAACCAGCACCTCCAGAGGCAGAGCACCCAGACCTAGCACCCCCAGAGCCCACACCTCCAACGTCACCACCCCCAGGAGCATCGTAGTCCACCGTGACAGACTGCAGAGGTGGCAAAGACGACCGAGGCGGGAACTAGGAGGGGTCTCCAAGCGTGGTGAGCGGCGAGAGGCCGCAATGTCATCAGCAGCAGGGTCACCTCCCTCAGCCGTTTCAGCGGGGTCTGAGGAGACCTCCACAAGCTCAACCAAGGGGGGTGGTGTGACCTGAGACACACCTGAGGGATCAAGACGCGAAGGGGGTGTGGGGGAGGGGGGTCTACCGGGGGGGGTAACCTGGAACCAGGAAGAGGGGTGGGGGGGGGGCACCGGGGAACTGCGGTGGGGGAAGAGACGGTACTAGCAAACCAACTCGTCAAAAGTGAAGTTGCAGGAGGACACGACATGGCGCAAGACGAGGTGGTAAAAGTGCCAGTCAGGCGCATCGTCAAAGAAGCCAAGAAAGAAGCAGCAAATGGCGCGAGGGGAGAGCTTGCCCGCGATAGAATCACGACAAAGGCAGGCGAACCCCAGACGCATTGCCAACCTTCCCCGTCCAAAGCACGATAGGCGAGGTCTCTGGTCTGTACTCCTGAGGCCATTCTTGCAGAGTACACGGCATCCTCTAGTCGATGTTCTCGCCCCGACTCACCCCCTGGCTTCCCGCCCGTCCCGCAGTTTCCTCCTCGTTCGTCTCTGCGGCCAGTTGTTGGGGAGCCTGGGGGTGTTCCTGCGGGAGTTACTGGAGGAACCGCGCATGTCATTGGTGGAGGTTCTGATTCTAAAGGTGCTGGAGCAAGAGACATTGGCACTACGGTGCCTATACCGCGCACTGTACGTTTCCTTACCCGTGAGCAGCGTCTTTTACGGTTAGAGAGGGAGGATCGGGAGCGGTTTGAGAGAGCACGACAACAGCAGCAGTAGCATTGTTAGCGATTAAGGACGAGGTCTATGAAGATTAGGGGCCGAAATATCATAAAATTTGTTGGACTAGAATTCTGGCCAGAATTGTCGACTTCACAAGAAACGCCATCGACGAAAAGCTCACCATTATAATATTTTCAAACCCGAGTATGTTATAGCCCTTGACGGTGGCTATCTTTTCCAATTTGAATCGTACGAAACGATGGAGTATAAATCGAGTTATGAATTTCGGCGCACTAGGGGATATGCTGCCATACAAACTTAACGCAATCACAATTGTTCACACAAGATCCACACAAGAAAGTTAGAGTAGCAATCAACCAAGTCGGAGGGAAGAGGGGGACGAGAGGGAAGGTCCCCAAGGAGTCCTCAACCAAGGAAACCCCATAGTCACACCAAATCCCTTCCCTAAAGGCACCCCAACTTTGACCTTTGTCACTTTCCCAACCCATGCCATTCACCTCACCCCAATTGGCCACACTTGCCAACCTGGTTTGGCTTCTCCCAACCACTTGGCATCAACTACAGTAGAAATGACGAATTCTCCAATCCCCAAAAGTCTATACCACATATTGAGTCACTTCACAAATTCCCATGGTCGCCTCACCACAACCATAACTTCGAACGATTATAACTTTCTCGTCGGCGATTCTTGGTTCGTCGGAAAGCTCTCGAGCAGAGGACTCATTTCAGATATCTGCTCAAGCAGAAGAAAAACTCACACGGAACACAAATTCTTGCACACGCATGCAACGCATGAACATATGATGGGAGGCAGATAGACGTGAACGCAAATGATAGCATCACATAACAAGAATCAGCAGTCTCAGTCGCATCGTCAGGAGAGGGTGGAGGAGGAGCCACAGCCACAGTAGCGGGTACTGTTGCAGCCACATCACGAGAGAGTAGAGGAGGAGTCACGGCCACAGCAGGAGAGGGTAGAGCAGGAGTCCCGGCCGTAGCAGCACGTGCAGCTGCAGCCGTCGCATGAGAGTGCAGAGGAGGAGCCACACCCGGAGCAGCATGAGCAGCAGCAGCAGGGGCAGGTGTTGCCGCAGCAAATGCCAGAGGAGGCGTAGAAGTAGCGACTGCGACCTTCCCACTAGTTGGCTGCTAAGAGGGTGGCAAAGTATGTGGCGATTACATCAGGTATGGGACTTGTCCTTGGAGGGAAGCAGGCAGTTACACTTACAGGTTACTCGGACTCGTCGTAGGCCGACGTCGCTCGGACGTTGCGGTCTACACAGGGGTACTCCTTCAGCCTCGGGATAGGTGCTAGTTCGTGGAGGTCTACTCGGGCGTCGTCCGTCTCTAGTTCCAGCTGAGAGGCAGAGGTGTACGTTGCTGCCATGGCTGCCCAGGAGCTTCGCTGGCTGTCTTTCCTCCTCACCGAGCCTAAACTCTGGGGGAAAGCGAGGCCGCTCACCAAGGAGAGAAAGAGCCAATAAAGCCAGGTGGAGAACGCAGCCCGAACTGCTCGAGCAGCCTCCCCCGAAGAAACGCAGTAGAGAGGTCCAATGAGTGCAGCTCACCGCTGTGCTGCGACGTGCTGTAATACCCAAAAAGTGGTCATCTTCAGGGTGGGGAAAAGGTATGGAAGAAGTCTACCCCCTCGCATTGACAGGAACCCCGTGCCACGTAACGCGCCTTGTAGATTCATTTGCCACTGACGACGTTCGCCCCATGTGGCGGGATTGTGTAAACGTAGGTGCATGTGGACCTATTGTGGGTGCAAATCTACTTTGCGTGACATCATGTCGTCTGCTTGTACGAGTATGTGTATGGGAATGCATTTGCGTGTGAATGGTGTGTTCGTATGTTTGATTGCTTTCGCAATTTTCGCTTGATGCATATGCAGGCACTCGCACAATGTGCGCTTCGGCACAACATTGTATGGGCTATGAACAGTGCAAGCATAAAGGAGGAGCTCGCAAAGGAACCCAAGATGGAAGCTTTGCAGTTCGGTTCAAAATCGATTATACCCAACTCGAAATTGTTCTGTTTCGTTTACTTAACTATAGTGTAACAGTGCAGGCACTATTGGGGTGCAATTAGGTGGAGGT